AGAACCTGGGAATAAATCAGTTATTATCCGCGAAGCGGACATAACCAAAAATCCAACCCAGATCAGATGATCGGATAATGACGGAATGGCCACTAGCTGCAAAGCAGCCAGTGTGCCATTCCGTCATATCCGATCATCTGATCTGGGTTGGATTTTTGGTTATTGTCCACTTCGTGGACAATAACATATACATATAGTCAAAATTCCGACCAGCCGACCTACACTAACATAAAAATGGCGTGATAATATTTTTTTAAAAAAAATGTATAATGAATTTGGTCAGAAAATCTTAAAGATAATTTATAATGTTACACCAGTGCTCAAAATGCAAAAAAAATAAATAAACCGTTACCTCATCATCATCAGAAACCTTATATATATAAAATCGACTTGTTCCATACAAAATGGTTCATCAAAATTGATATTTCTAGCAGAAAAAGGCTTCATTTTGCAATCAGATCTGAACATTTAAGCTCTATATACCAGAGTCTGTTCGTTAGACTTGTTGTAAGAGTTGATTACATATATCGATTCATGTCATTCCTTTTTTTTAAACAAAGTATTACGAGTAAAACTGATGAACATACTTTCCCTTTAAAACTTATAGCCTTAAAATACATGACCTCTTCATCTTTGTTTCCCTCATAAAACCATCAATTGTGTTATCATAATATTGATTGTATGAACTCTTCAAACTTTCAGTTTTATAGTGAACTATCAAAAGCGTCTAGTAAATAATCATATGAATTCTTTTTCCTCAAACGATGTCAGGAAATTGATCATATGATCTTGGATTTTCAGTTCTCCTTAGAAAACTATCAGTATCTGCAAACTAATATATAACATGACCGAAGACCGATATCAGGTAAACCTTCTTATTGTTCAGTTTTCCATAGAGAATGGAATTAAGTAAACAATTCTGTAATCTCTTTATTTTTTCAGCTTCAATATTCGGAATCTGATAATATGATCCCTTCGTCTCTTCAGTCCTTTGAAGAACGAACCCATATCAATGGTTATATGACCTCTTTTCAATTTTTCCAGAGAACCAACAAGGTCAATATCTAGAACCTAATAATATGATCACCTCGTCTCAGTTTTTAGAACGAATCCAGGTAACGGTCATATAACCCATCATCTTTCAATTTGGAAAAGTACATTGTGAAAACTACAGATACCATATTCATATGCTTATAGACACCAAAATCTGCTTCCTAACTTTAATTTTGTCACAACAAACACATGATCTTATATGCACAGCACGGATACGTAGCATTAACCTTATCAACAGCACGGTCTGTATTAGATTTTGTGTTAAAATTGTAGTATGGCAGAATTAGGTCATGTGTGTGCTGTGTCGTGTACCTTCCATTTCTTTTAAAAAAACTATCAAGAACGATATCGAGAAACTAACCAATCATTTTTTCAGCCCTCCTCAGAGAATAATCAAGAACAGTATCCGGTAAACAATCATACAACTTCTTTTCAATCTCCTGACAAAGAACTATATCAGAAACTGATCATAACCTCTTCATCTTTTCAGTTTCCCTTAGAGAATCATCAAGAACAAAATCAGGAAGTTGATCGTATTGCCAAACTTACTTTCCTTCTTAACGAAAAAGAGCTTTCCAATGCTTTCCTTGTTTTCCTATGGAAGTTACTTGGTGATAATCTCTTTCTTTACTATAACAAGTTTCTAGAATCGTTCCAGAATTCTTCATCATTTCCGGAAATGGACCAAAAAGGTGAAAGAAAAAAAAATGCATGTAATAACTGTCGCAGTCGGAAAAAGAAATGTGTTGGAGGTAAAATCGGTGAGGAATCATGTAAGTATTGTAGTAAAAATAATAAAATATGTTCTTATGTCGAGATGTCTTCGATAAGTAAGTATTTCTGATGAGTAACTTGCTATTGTCGTTGTTTCAAAAGAAAAAGAAGCCTTTTTGTTATTTGGTTGTTGAACACATTGAATACCTGTTACTGTTTGCTACTCAAACTTGCTAAATGCTAATTCCGCAGGTGTCAAAAACAAATCAGTATACATTCTGCATGTTCACCATCCAATTAATGAAACTGGAAATAGCATGAAAATAAATTTGTTTTTTACAATTGAATGAATTTAGATTATTAAGCAGCACCAAAAAATTAATACTCTTTCCTGACTTTTGTGAAAGGATTGAAAAATTACAGACATTTTTGTCTTATTAGGTTAAACCTTTATTCCTGTATGAAGCTTCCACACCAAATCTACATATTTCTATGAATCATACATTTTTTCTAACCAAATTTCTTTTATATGATTGATTTTTAACAAAAAGCATGAATTTTTTTGGGGCAACAGAAAAATTGCTTTAAATAAAAGGTCCTCATATTTTGTCGTAAATGTGTAATATTTATCTTATTTTTGAAAATTTACCAATTGAATTTATTGTGAATATGAAATTTTGTCTATTTGGATAACATTACAAATCTGATTAGTCTGTACAAACTTCTAAAAAGAATGCAAATTTTGATCGTGTTAGTACATACTTATAAAAAAGAAAATTAATAGTTATACAATTTGTCACGCAGGTAAGTATGATCAAACTGTCGCACCTAAATTTCACAAATAAATTTGAAAATGCACTTAGATCCTTATTTGATAAAAAAAAAAACCTATAGCTTTTAGTTGGAAGATATACTTTCCTATTCTTTATTATTAGATACTTCGTTATATAAAGTTTAATTTTATGAAATGTACTATTGCATATTTGTAATATGCTTTATTTGACTAGATCGATGCGTCTTAATATAGATTAGTTTGTTAAGATTATATGTAAGATGAATGTCCTATTCGGTCCTATTCCAAGTTGGAAACAGTTCGAAAACTAAGTTCGAATTATATCATGCGTATTTGAGTCCCAAATTTAAGTTCGCAAGCACTATGCACATATGTACGTACGTTTCGTTTGTATTATTTAGATTTAGTACGATAGCAATAGTGCTGTTATAGTACAATTTACAAGAACATGTGCACATTATAATAAAGATAACACGAATGTAAAACATTTAAAAAAAAATTGGTGAAAGAGGATTAATTTCATTATTTTCTGTAACATAAAAGAATTGAAAACAAATTGATAATGACGACAACGAATATCTGAAAGCATTCACGACTTTATCCAATTCTAATGAACTCTTGATTTTCTAAAGGAAGTTGGATTATTAATTGTGCAGTTTATTAAACATATATTGGATTAGCTCATTTCTATGAATAAGTATAGTCGGGTTATTTCGGATTATTCATGGCGAATTCATGACGCGATATATGTTTCTATAATGCTAATATTTTATAAGATGAAAGTATTTTGATAACAGTATTACATATTGGGCCTAAAAGTATGACGAAAATGATCGGGAGGCGTAATACCTTATGTCGCTCCAATTACAGGTGATGAGCGTGCAGCGAACATTTGAAACCTGAACTTGCTCTTAGGATGTATTTAAAGGCTCTCAAGACGGCACTAAATGAATGCTAATTAAATGAGTAGAGAAGTTAAATTCTATGTTATTGCCAATTAAATGTATCGTAACTGAATAAAATGAATGGAATGTTAATAGAATGTTAATTTAATGATATTGAATATATAGATTAATAAGAATTATACCGGGTTAGTGAAAAGTAACTGGACAGTGACCTTTTTTAATCGTTGATATGCTATTGATTATCACTTAACACTTATACAAGCATTTATAATGAATAATATATAGTTATTGCATGCGAAGTATGCAATAACGATTTTATTCAATGATTTACTATCTCAGTTTATGAAATAAGATCAATAATTTTATCATATAAAAAGTGCCATAAAATAATTGATTTTTTTTATATTTTGTATAAATTTGAATCTCGTGTCTATTTAGTTGGATCGGGTTCTTGACCCAGTTTCTGTTTTTTTTTTAAAAAAAAAAATTTAAATTCACTACTGGGGGGGTTCGAAGTTGATTCTTTAGTTAACATCACCCCCTCAGCTGAAGTCTCCCTCCGAAAAATGAACGAACATTGAAAACTATCACCAATTACTTGATTTAATAATTGTCTTATATTTTTTCATTTTATATGTTCGTTTCATTTTATTCCCCCTTCTCCCAAGAGCTCTAAAAGTGATATTAACCGAAAATTCAACTGCAAGTGGCCTTAAAACCTTCTTTATTGTCAACTATACATTTCAACATGAATAAATTATCCCATGTGCCCTGAATGAAAAATGTCTGTTCTGGATTGCATGAAACTGCATGCAAGAAGCATTGTGATTATGCAAGTAAACTGAGTATAATTAATAACGTTTAAATATTAACGGAGGTAATAAAAAGGTCATTGTCCAGTTAATTTTTATCAACCCGGTACGGATCAAATCTGAACTTCTGAGTAACAGACCTTATACTCCCCGGCCATAATAATATCAATGGCCAAATTTGATATTTACGCCCTTGGAAAACATTAATATTTTAATGTTAATTTTATTATGATTATAATTTGTATATGTGTGACATGTGTGCCAGGTTCGTGGCGCAACAAAAATTCTTTATGTTAGGGTTTGGGTCTGGGTTAAGAATTAGAGAAGAGTAGTTTCTACAGTAAAATTGCTCAACAAAAACTTTTCGTTAGAGCACTAAAAGTGGTTTCTTATGCTGATTTGAGAAATAAGCAAACCGAGCAGGGGGGCATTTGATTTCCGGGATAAACGTTACACGAATATTTATATAGGATGGTAGTATAAAACCAGAATTTTCGGGTATTAGTAAACTTAGGAAAAAATGAAGGGAATTTACACATAAAGGGCCAATCCGATCTCCGAGCTATGTTAAGCCACGTGACTTACATAGCGTCGCCCAAAAAATGGTAGCGGATTAAAATAAATCTACACGAAAACTAAATGTACTATTCATAAATCTGGCTAATAAACTTATACTTTACAAATTTTAACACATTGATTAAAAAGATCTTTATACATAACTAACTAAATAACGAGAATGAAAGATATACAATGCTGTGGTTATTTTAAACATTAAACCCTTTGCATTTATCAGCTAAATGAATAAGAAACTAAGTTGAGATATTCACGAACTTAAATAGCTTATTTAAGCAATCGATCAAAAAATTGTACTTAATTAAATTAACACGAATAAATAAATAAAATTCAGAAACGATTATGAAAATCGACTAGTCTTTTTTTTTAAAAAAAAAAACAAAAAATATCTAATTTAAATATACTATCCTACTCTAAATCTCTGAATTTTTTTTCAACAGATTCCTGACTAAAGCAATCGTGTTTTAAGTTCGTTGATAATGATTTTTCAATAGTGAACAAATGTTGTAGTATTAATGCTGCCTACTTAATGGAATTAAACAAAAAATTGTATGAACAGTACTATGTGGTAATATTATTTCTAAAAAGCTTTATACTTATATTCAACTAACTAAATAAGAATGAATGTTCATAAACTTGAATTACTTATTTAATTAATTAGCAAAATTAATATGAATCAATATAAAACATTCAGAGTTGGCATGGACCGGTCAATGGTCAAGCTTGACCAGACCAGTTTGACCAATTTGACCAGTTGGTCAAA